CGCGCGATGGGCGGCGCTCACTTGCACGGTTCCGCCGCGCCGCCCCCCCCCTTTTCTGCCTTCGGGCCTGCGCGCGTGAATCGCAAGATGTCAACCTACGGCCTCTTGAAGTCCTACCTGTAAGTCAAGGTTTCTCTTTGGCTTCGGGTGCGCGCTGGGCTTTCACCTGTGAGCCTCGCACTTGCACGGTCAGTTCGTGCCGACCAGCTTTGTTTGGTTCGCGCTCGCGGGGCTATCGTCGTCGGTTGACGGCCATCTGAATTTCTACCTGCACGGCAAGGCTGGACGGGATGCTCGGTCACGGCTAGTGGGTGGCATTGCCGTCTGGCGCGGTCGCCTGATCCTTCTGGTCCGCCTACTCGGGTGCCGTCTGTACTACTTCGCGGTGTTTTTGCGCGGCGCCGCTGCCCTCTTCGGCCGCCTGTTCGCCTTCCTCGCGCCATTTTGGCTGCGTCTTCGTGCGTCGGCACATCGGTGATCATTATGTGCGTCACCAGCTTCCGTCTCCGTCTTCTTCGGCGCCCTCTTCGTGCTCTCGGGGCGCTTCCTGTACTTCCTGTTCGCCAAGTTTGCCGCGCTCACGTGGTCTTCGTCTTCGCCGCGCTCTTCTGCTGCTGCCCGCCTGGTCGGCGCCGAAGCTCCTCGCGCGCCGTCGCCTGCGCTGCTTTCCCTTCGCTACCGGCGCGGCCCGCCGTAGCCCGCTCGGCGCTCGACCCGCTTCGCGCGCCCGCTAATCAACAAAGTACCCCCACCAGACCATCCAGAAACGATGATGAGAGCTGACGGGGGGAGAGAGGAAGAGATGCGCATAATCAAACAGCGAGGGGGGCCGGCCGGCTCTTGGATCCCTCTTGGAGCGCTCTTGGGGCGCTTGAGGGAGCTCTTGGGGCCGTTTTGGGGCTCTCGTGGGCCTCTCTTGCGGCTCCCTGAGGATCTCTTGGAGCCATCTTGAGGCCCCGGAAGGCCATCGAAAGCAAAACGGCGAGAAAACCACATTTATGGATTTTCTGTGAGCTTTCAAAGGATGTGGGCCTCTCTGTGGCCTCCTGGGGGGCCTTCGTGGCCACTCGGGGCCTTCTTGGGGCGGTCTTGGGGCCCTGTTGAGGCGCTCTTGAGAGCCTTGGGATCTCTCTTGGGGCCATATTGGAGGAGATCGATCAAAGACGGGGGGGGCCTCAATTAATTTCCCCCCTCGGGAGTCCCCAACATCGCCACTTGGGCTCTTAGAGCGCTCTTGGGCGCTCTGTGGGCCGCCCTGGTGTTCTCTCGGCCCTCTCTCGGGGCCCTCTTGGGCCATCTTGGAGCCTCGAAAGGCCATTGAAAGCAAAAAGGCGAGAAGGCCCAATTCATTGATTTTCGTACGGGTTTTCCCTGCCTAGGCTCTGCCTAGAAGGTTCTTACTCTGTTAGCTTAAGGGGGCCGGGCAGTGGAAAGCGCCCCCGGCGGTTCCCCCAGTCCTCGCCCCGCGGTTCCCCCAGTCCCCTGGGAGCTTTAGCCTTAGCTTTAGCTTTAGCTTTAACTTAGCTTTAGCTTTAGCTTTAGCTTTAGCTTTAGCTTTAGCTTTAGCTTTAGCTTTAGCTTAGCTTTAGCTTAGCTTTAGCTTAGCTTTAGCTTAGTGCTAGCTTAGCTTTAGCTTAGCTTTAGCTTAGTGTTAGCTTAGCTTTAGCTTAGCTTTACCTTAGCTTTAGCTTAGCTTCAGCTTAGCTTCAGCTTAGCTTTAGCTTAGCTTTAGCTTAGCTTTAGCTTAGCTTTAGCTTCTACTCTAGCTTAGCTTTCGCTTAGCTTTCGCTTAGCTTTAGCTTAGCTTTAGCTTAGCTTCATTGTAGTTTTAGCTTAGCTCTAGCTTAGCTTTAGCTTAGCCTTAGCTTAGCTTTAGCTTTAGCTTCAGTTTAGCTTCAGCTTCAGCTTAGCTTTAGCTTAGCTTTAGCTTAGCTTTAGCTTAGCTTTAGCTTAGCTTTAGCTTCTACTCTAGCTTAGATTTAGCTTAGCTTTAGCTTAGCTTTAGCTTAGCTTTAGCTTAGCTTTAGCTTAGCTTTAGCTTAGCTTCAGCTTAGCTTCAGCTTAGCTTTAGCTTAGTTTTAGCTTAGCTTTAGCTTATTGTTAGCTTAGCCTTAGTTTTAGCTTGGCTTCAGCTTAGCTTTAGCTTAGCCTTAGTTTAGCTTTAGCTTAGCTTTAGCTTAGCTGCAGCTTAATGTTAGCTTAGCTTTAGCTTAGTGTTAGCTCAGCTTTAGCTTAGCTTTAGCTTAGCTTTATCCTAGCTTTAGCTTAGCTTCAGCTTAGCTTCAGCTTCGCTTCAGCTTAGCTTTCGCTTAGCTTCATCTTAGCTTTAGCTTAGCTTTAGCTTAGCCTTAGCTTAGCTTTAGCTTAACTCGCTTAGCTTCAGCTTAGCTTCAGCTTATCTTTAGCGTAGCTTTAGCTTTGCTTTAGCTTTGCTTTAGCTTTAGCTTAGCTTTAGCTTAGCTTTAGCTTAGCTTTAGCTTAGCTTAGCTTTAGCTCAGCTTTAGCTTAGCTTTAGCTTAGCTTTAGCTTAGCTTAGTTTAACTTAGCTTCATCTTAGCTTTAGCTTAGCTTTAGCTTAGCTTTGGCTTAGCTTTAGCTTGGCCTTAGCTTCGCTTAGCTTTAGCTTAGCTTCAGCTTAGCTTCAGCTTAGCTTTAGCTTAGCTTGAGCTTAGCTTTAGCTTAGCTTTACTGTTGCTACTACTGCTGCTTTCCTAGGGGCTCCAACTCCTAGGTAGGGTCGCACTGGGATAATTAAACGATGCAGGCCTCTTGGCGGCCTCCTGGGGAGGCTCCGTGGCCATCTTGAGCCGTCTTGGAGCGGTCTTGGGGCCTCTTCGGGCATATTGGAAGCCATCTTGAGCCAGCTTGGACAGCTCTCTGAGGCCGCTTGGGCGCCAATCGGGGGCCTCTTGGGGGCCGCTCGGGGGCCTCTTGGAGCCCTCTTGGGGCTTCTTGGGGCCTCTTGAAAGGGTCCTCGATGTGCGTCCCCTCTTGGGGGCCACGATCCGCATGAAAAGTGTCAAAAATTGGCCCTCCCACGAGCCAGAAAAGGAGCTTCTGATACCTCGCGAAAACCTCAGGGAGGGGAGGGGGAGGGTTCCCCTCCCCGAAGGCAAGAGGGGTCGTGGAAGAGAAAAAAACACATCCTTAGACCACCGGTCGCCCAGACAGGGCTGGTGGGATTTCGTTGTCGTGCATGTCGTCGCGAATATCAAGAGAGAGGTCGTCGTCGTGCAAGTCGTCGCCCTATGGACCATTCCACGGTGGGGAGGATTTCGGGTGGCGGGTACTGGAAAATCACGCCGTCGACCCGAAATTGGTAGCAATGAAAACCCAAAAATGTATTAACGGACATCCTGGCGTTAACGTCCAAAGCTCGATTCATGAAACTCTTTGTTCCAATTTCTGAGACCGTCCTTTGCACTTGTGTTGTTCCCTACCTAAGCTCTGCCTAGAAGGGTTCTTACTCTGTTGGCTTCTAGGGGCCGGGCAGTGGAAAGCGCCCCGGGCGGTTCCCCCAGTCCACTGGGACCCAAGCAAAAGCAACAGCAAAGGTAAACGCAAACGCGCGGTTCCCCCAGTTGCGCTCCCTGAGTGCCAAACAAAAGCAACAGCAAAGGCAACAGTGAAGGCCAAAGATAAGGCAACGCAAAAACATAGCATAGCATAGCATAGCATAACATAGCATAGCACAGCATAGCATAGCCTAGCCTAGCCCAGCATAGCATTGCGCAGCATAGCATAGCATAGCATATCATAGCATAGCAGAGCAGAGCATAGCGCAGCACAGCATCCACTAATGTTGCTTTCCTAGAGGCTCCAACTCCTAGGTAGGGTCGCACTGGGGTAATTGAATCAACCAAGCTTCCAGAGGCCACGGCCCCGCCCACTAGAAAAAGGGACCATGTCCGCAACGGTGATCATTCGTCCGTTAGTTTTTCTTTGCTGTTTTGTTTTTCTGGTTCTTCGCTTTTGTCGGACGAGGAAAATAATGAATACTATACATAACATTTCCGTCGTTGTTCAAGGCCAGGTGGTCGCCGTACAATCAGAATACAACATCGTTGTCGTGCAGACCGTCGCAATGTTTTAAGTTTCGGTAATAAACCGAGCCCTTTTGAAAAGTTCCAGTTTTAATCCCACCAGCCCTCTGGCCGTAAGTGGTCTAGGAAGTTTCCTCTTTCAACCCCCTTCTTCCCTTTCGGGGAAGGGTTTACCCTCCCCCCCCCTCTGGACCTAGACAAGGAGGGGCGGCGAGAGGTTGGAGCGTCCAAGACGACCCAAGACTGCTCCAAAAGCGCCCCTGAGAGTCCAAGATGGGGATCACTTGCGCAAATGACGGTCTATATCCTCATGGACACGCTCGGTTAACAGAGACGACCGGTGCAGGGCTCCACGGCCGCCATTCGGAACTAACAGCGGCATGGCAGCAAATTTTCTTAAAAGCTGGAGGGCACGTGCCCGATCGGAATATTGAGCGACTCCTGCATACCACGCACATCTCTGTACCCCCACACGACATGCGACGACTTGATTTGCTGGCTACGGGAATAAATGTTGCGAGGGGGTTGCCATTCTTTTGCGATGTGACCGTTTTGGCATCTATTTTCGGAAATGGTACGGCACGAGCAATCAGGGGGGATCCTTCTTCAACAGGGCACAACGAGACAACAACAATGAGAAGTCTTGAGTGTCTAGGCGCACCGCGGGGGTCTCTCAACCTTGAACGATCGGCAACTTCCGAAACGTCAGATCGTGCAACACCGACCGATTCTGGGTCGCCGGCGGCGTCCGGCGTTGAACGCCGGCGACGGGGTTGCCGCCGGTCGACACGACGCGAACCCCTCTGTGCTTGAGTGGCGGAGGTGGGCCCAAATGTTTGGCGCTCGGGCGCGCGTCGGCACGGCGCCTCGTGCCCGCGAGCGCCGCGCGCTGCGCACGCGGCGGCGCGGCGCGGGCGCGCGCGGAGGCGGCGGCCCTGCGGCTGAGACAGCGGGCCCTCACTGCTTGCCCGGCGGCTTGTCGGGGTACCTCTGGCCGCAGCCGCCGAGCCAGTCTCCAGAGCCCCGGGGGGGTCCGCACGCGCCTCCCAGACGCGGTCGGCGCAGATGGGGTCGGAGGCTGGGCGCCGCACCGCCGATGCATCGCCGATGCGTCGGCGATGCATCGGCGCCGTCGGCGTGGATAAGTTCGGGCTCCACATCGAGCCGCATCGCCGATGCATCGGCGGTGCGGCGCCCAGCCTCCGACCCCATCTATGCCGACCCCATCTGGGATGCCTATGGGGCTAGGAGGGGGAAGACGGAGGAGTGTGGGGTAGGAGGCGGCTCCTGGGACGTCTGCGCAACAACGATTGGAGTCTACTGGCCCCAGGATGAAGCCAGAAGCCAGACTGGCTGGGGTTATGCCAGACTGGGCCTGTTTTCGATCACGGATATGCCAGGGGAGGAAGAGACGGAAGATTGGGGAGGGTGAAGGTGGAACGATGACCATGACAGACGCGTGTCCTGAGGGAAACGGGCCGTGGGCTTCGGGGCCTCCCCCCCAGGACTAACCGTTCAATCAGGACGGCCGCCCGAAAGCGGCGAGAGAGCGTGATGCGGCGGCGGCGGCTGCGACATGCCACCCCTTGCACGCTGACAGCGTGTTGCTCTGCTTCGCGGGGCGGAAGGGTGGGGAACGCTCGCAGAGATGATGCTCGGGGGCCAGGGCGGGCTCGGCGTGTCGCGCCGAAGCGTGGTGGGCTCGAACTGCTGGCGCGACGCGGCAAGCAAGCGTTCCTCACTCTGGGCCCCTCCCCCAGGACCAGCTTTTCGTCCTGAGCAGGTTTTGGACGGCCGCCCGAAAACGGCGAACAAAAAACACTGGATCCCTCTGCCTCAGGACGGGCCGGCACGCACGGAACGCCTGGCCAGCGCACGGTGTGGCCACGAAGCGGCCGCAGGCGGCGTCCGGACGGAGTGACCTCAAACACCAAGCTAGCGCACGAGGTGGCCGCGAGGCGGCCAGAAGCGGCGACTGGCCAGCAATCGCTTTTCTCCCCGCAGTCGAAGGACCTTGATGATGCGCCTGCAACCGATCCAGGCAGCCTTTTCCCTAAGGGCTGCCTGGATCGGTGCTTGCACGTAGGGGTGCTTACTTGTGGAATCAGGAACTGGCTCTGAGGTTCGGTCTTGCGGCTATGTAATGGCCGTCGCAGCCCCGTCGCCGCCCGTCGTCTTGGCCTGAAGGTCGGTCTGGCGGCCATGTCGTCGCCGTCGCCGCCCCGTCGCCGCCCGTGTTGTCTTGGAGACGGAGGCTGTTGAGTACAGGGTGGGGGCACACGGAAAGCGGGCGGGCGGGCGGCGGGCGGGCGGGCGGGCGGCGGGCGGGCGGGCGGGTCGGGATTTTAACAGACTCCTTAAGGATTCTCTCTTGCAGCGGGAGCCTGTTGACTACTGGGTGTTGTCTTGGAGGCTGCACGCGCACCCACCCCCCTCGCGGAGAAAGGGGGGAGGTGAGGGTCGCTCTTTTCCTCGAGCAACAAAGGGCTGCAGGATTTCCTGGATCCTCCAGGACAGTCTAGATTATATTTTATATAATCATATATCTATGTGAAACTACAAACTTCCTAGCACCTCTCCTTGGGCGCTGGAAGCGGCTCGGCCTCCAGCCAAGAAAAGTGAGCCACAGGGAAGCCTCTTTGTGCTCCCTGGGCAGGCGTCGCAACGGCGCTGGCCCCCTAAACCCATCGCGGGGCTACCCGCTGAGGGCAGGCGCGGGGCAAACCGCAGCCTGTAAAACAAAGCTCACCCTCGGCCGTCGTAGTGCTTCCTGCGACCATTCTCCTAGCCCTCTCCGTGGATCACCTGAGAGCCTCTGGAACGGTCTCGGCACTCGCCCTTGAACGTCTCGATCCACTTCTGCGCAGCCTCTGGACTGCTGATGTCCTGCAAGCTAAGCTTGGCAAGAGGTCCATGCGCTGTAGCCATCACCCGCAGCTGCTCGATCTCCTTGGCCTGGCGATCCGACAGAACACCTCCGTGCTTGATCATCCTCGTGACCAGGTCTTCTTTGATCCCTGACACGGCCAGGCTCTTGGCCTTCAAGACAGCTCGCAGCTCAGCCACAAGAAACGTGTTTAAGAGCTTGTGCCTTGCACCTTTGTCCTGCTGTGCACACACGGTCTTGAACTCGACGTCAGCCCGCGCAGATGGTGGGCAAGTGCTTCCAGAGGCGGGGCTAACCGCACCCTGGAGGAAGAACTTGTCGTAGAAGTTCTTGAAGTAGCAACCACACCAGCACCCCAATAAGAAAGTACTCGCTGCAGTCACCATAACAAGTCCCAACATCAAGTAGAACCTGAACTCCTCGCTCTCCACATAGTGGCTGACAGGCGCGGGGCAAACCGCAACCTCGTCAGATCCTCCGTACACTGTCACCTTCTCGCCTGACGCCTTCGTCACGACCTCCGTGAAAACTGCCATTGCGCTCAAGCCCGTCATCTGCTTTCCGAACCTGAGGTTGAGAGTGGTGCAATGCTTCTCGATTGTCGGCCACTCGCTGTACTTCGTGAGCATGTCGGCTGTCATCTTGCTGGTGTCCTCCTTGTGAAGCTCGAACGCCTTGAGACGCAACCGCTCCTGAATCCACAAGTACCTCAGCTCCAGATGCCTGACCTTGCCCACCCCAACTCGGCTGCACATGCCACGTCCAGCTGTGCTGTCACTATAGATCTTCAGGTTGCAGGGCCTCTGGGTCTCGATCAGGTAAGTCTTACACTGAAGTCCTCTGGCTGTCGCACTTCCCGTAGCATACATCTCGGATTCCCCTGAACTTAGGGCTATCGTACTCTGCGTCACTGAGTAGCAGTCCCAAGTGTGGTCGCCATACCTCACAGCTCCTCCACTGGTAGATCGCCGCTGTAGTTCACTCGTAGGTGCCCAATCCGCATCACCATCTACACGAATGCCTTCAGGAGTACCTTGAAGTGGGTAACACCAGACCAAAACAGGCTGTCCTTCGTAGTACCTTCCAAGTCGCTGAACACGCGCATGCATCAAGACGTTCGGGTTGGAGACGTGCTGCATCGCTGTCTTGCTGGCGTACATCGTGTCGGGCCTGTCCGAAGAAAGGTAAAGAGCGGTGCCTGCTGCACCCGCCACTTCTCGAGCACGATCCTTGGAAAGAAGGTCTAGGCTGTCTCGTCGGCCTTGTCCTGTAGCTTTCGTTCCTGGAGTAGGAGCTGGTTTACAACCTCGCTTCTGCGTCCACTTGATCATGAAGTCCACATGCTTGGGATCGGCAGTCCAGAAGAAACCTGGCTCCTCGCAACCTGGCAACTTGTCGGTGTAGCCGATCGTCCTCTTGAGGTATGTAGTCTGCCCCACCGCTCCTGGTCCAAGTCTGGCGCTGGCCGTGACCTCAAACTGCTGCTTCAACAACTCGTCCAGCTCGTCCAGCTGCTCGTCGTAGCCTTCAGCAAGAAAGTCATCGCCATGGCAGATCGCTGTGCTATCCTCGTCGAAGGGGGCTGTGTTGGGGCTAGCAGGTAAGTAGAACACGTTAGGAGTTCCAACCAAGCATTCCCAATGGCCGTCGTCCATAGTAGTTCTCACAAGCTCACCCCACATCTGCGACGCCTTCCTGGTACCGTTCATGGCCTTGCGTAACCACCAGCACCTTCCAGGCGGACACAGCTCTCTCCCAGGATGCACGTAGATCGTCTCGTCTAAGTCAGCGTTGAAGAAAGCCTTCCTGACGTCCCAGACTTGTATCTTCCGCAGGTGCTGCCCGCTGGAAGTTGGACTTGAAGCGGCACGGCTCAGCGTCGCTCTGACAATCATGAGCGGGGGCGTGCCTTGGTGGTTGTCCTCCCTGACCTCGTACTTGTTCACCTCGGTTGCTACGAACCTCCACCTGACCTTTCCTTCTTTCATGTGGGCTATCGGGAAACCTCCAATGTGCTTGCCGTCAGTCGCCGTCGATGTCGCCACTTCCACGTAGACCCCGTAGTCTTTCATGGCCTGCAGCTCGTCGTCGCGACCCTTCTGATACAGGTCCTCATCCAGAGGCTCTCCAGTATAGTAATCGTAGTGTATCGTCTTTGGGCTCCACTGGTCTTTCTCATGCAGCTCGGCGCTCACCTCAACCATCTGCTCCACCTGCTGATCCTCAGGATCTCCGAAGTGGCTCCTGATTGTGCCGATGTGGCTCATCAAACATCTCCTGCATGCACACTCAGCTTGGTGGCATTCTCGTAGCTGGCATCGTGACGAGTGCTTCTCACACCTCTCGGAACATCTCGCACTGCGCTTTGGGTGTGGATCCCACATGGGGTCGAAGCTCTCGTCGTAGCCCTCCTCGCAGACTGCCAACTCACAGACAGAGAGATGCCCAATGCTTGCTACCCTGGGCTTCTTGACCTCAGCTCCTTCACGAACTTCACCTGGGGCACTTCGCCGAAAGTCGCTCCTGAGCTCGCCACTCTCCGTGTCCATGGCTGTCTGCACCTCAGCCTCTCCTGGGCCAGGGACCATAGCTACGTCGCTGGCAGCAGGTGCGGGGCTCACCGCAACCTCACTGCTGCTTGATGCCGCTGCTCCTCCTGGTGCGGCTCCAGGCGCGGGGCTACCCGCAGCCGGTGCTGGCACCACGACTGTAGCCTCAGGGGCCACAGGGTCCTTTGCCAACTTCTCGCGCAGCAAGTCGGCCTGAATGGTCTCGAAACGCTGTCGGCAGGCTGCCGAATGCGAACCGTATCCTGTACTGCACTTCCTGCACTCGTCAGTAGGACCATGAGCATCGATCATGCGCTCCGTGATGTACATGCTGCGTCCGATCGTTCCTGAACTCTTGTCGGGCGTCTGCTTCCAGGGCGTCACCCTGATGTGCTGGATGAGCTCGGGCTGCCATCTGAACTCCTCAGGCATCCTTCGCACCGTTCTGACCTTCTGCACTCCACGTTCAGGATCGATCACGAGATGTGTATCGTCCAGCTCACTCTTACCAACCCAGATTCCTTTTGCGAAGCGGGCTTCCCATTTGCCACG